TATCGATGCACGGCAATACATCTACACAAAATAACACGTGACTAACTCATTACCAAAGAATTATACCAGGAGGACGTAAGCACTCGATTTTAAGCGTTGACAGTCTCGTTGACAGCGCTTCTACCTATTCCAGTTGTCGCATTGAGCGATGGGAGTGCTAGAGGAGTTTGCGCCAACCTTCGTGCAAAAGCCGGGTTTGAAGCGCAAAGATGGCGGATTGCGAATCGAATGCGAGATACAGGCGTCGCCGCTACCAACGGTGAAATGGTCAAAGGGCGACCAGGAGGTAAAGTTACCCACGCCACTCTGTAAAAAAAATATCAAAGGTACCAACGATGAAATGGTCAAAGGGCGACCAGGAGCTAAACTTACTCGCGCGGTAGCAGACAACGTGTAAGTGGATACTCCACGTGGCGAAGAGATTGTCGGTTGAGGATGATTCGGGCGCGCTTGCTTGAAATGAAATCATGAAATCTTGAAGTGAAATGAAATCTTGAACTGAAATCATCGCGATGCATCCGTTCTGTTCGTGTAGGTGAGGGAAGACGAGCATCTGCGTTGTGGGATCGATCAGACAGGTGGCAGTCTCTATGTTGTTTACGTGGAGATCAAGAACGCGACACAAGCTGATGCAGGACAGTACAGCCTGCGGGCCTCGAATAAACTTGGCAATGTCATTTCTACAGTGAATTTGGACTTTGAAGGTTGGTTACTGGAGTGTTGAATGTTAGTGGAATGCCCATTATCAAAGTTTCGCGAGCCCTATGTATACAGATATGTATTTATCTAGTGTTAGCTAAAAAAAAAATTTGGGCAGAGAATATTATGAAAAAATGATATATCACAGGCATCAAAATACGTATATTGTATTAACTGGCAATTTTGTTTGTTTGCAGCCCCAGGAAAACCTGTTCCCAAGTACGTATCACAACCGCAGCAGAAATAGAGATATCGCAGATATTTAATCTTTAATCATTATGTGTATATGGAAATATACAGAGAGAGAGAGAGATGGCGAGAGAGAGAGAGGGAGAGAGAGAGAGAGAGAGAAAGCACATGAAAGAGGAGAAAGAGCAGAGACGAGACGAGAGAGAGAGAGCCTGCCGGCGACCGAGAACCGAGTGACGATAGCCGAAAAAGGGTTATGTGGTGTGTGCGTGCCGTCGCGTGCGTGCCCGTGCGTGCGTGCAGTGCTGTGCAGTGCGGTGTCCCGGGTTCGTGCTGCCGTTTTGGGCGTGCGTTGCCCCTTCCCGTGCGCCGTGCTGGAACCACGTGCGTGCGTGCGTTTGCGTGTGCGTCTAGTGCGTGGTGTGTTGTGAAAGATGAGAGAGAGAGAGAGAGATGATATAGAGAGAGAATGACTGGATTAGAGGATAAAGATAAAGATTAGAGAGATAGAGATAGAATAGAGGATAGAGATACAGATAGCAATAGAGATAGAGATAGCAGATAGAGATAGAGATAGAGATAGGAGAGAAAGAGGAGACGGAGAGAGAGATAGAGCAGAGAGAGGAGGAGAGATAGATGATAGAGCATAATTTATAGGATAGGGATAGAGAGAGAGAGAGAGAGGAGAGAAGCACAGGAGAGAGAGAGAAGGAGAGACGAAGCGCCTTGCGCAAGTCGAGACGAGAGAGAGAGAAGGAGAAGAACTAGAGACGGAGACAGACGGACCTCGCGCCCACTGCGCCGAAGTCTCCTCGGCTCCGCGTGCGAAGAGATGGAGAGAGAAGAGATGATGGAGGACGAGAGATTAGAGACTGGAGAGACGAGACTATACTGCCGCGGACGCGCGAGTACGAGCATGAGAGAGAGAGAGAGACAAAATGAGACGATGAGGGTGGAGAGAAAGAAGAAAGAGATGACGCGCGCGATTATGCGAGAGACCGGAGAGAAGACGAGAGATGAGAGAGAGAGAGAGAGAGAGAGAGAGAGAGAGAGAAGGGGCGGCAAAGCGGGGAAAGAGAGAAGACCGATGTCGGTGGACAGGGGGGGGTGAGAATGGGAGGGAGAGAGAGAGAGAAGAGCAGACAGGAGAGCAGAGGAGAGAGAGAGAGAGAGAATGAGAGAGAGATGAGAGTGAGAGAGAGAAGAATAGACTATGCCAACCAGACAGTAATTAACTGCCGGGCTAACAGGAAGACATTCGCAGACGTTCATATTACAGTAATCCATTCGCAGCCGAGATCTTCACTTCTTAAACTACTTCACGTCTACATCGGCGATGCTTCGAGTCCTCGCCGTCACTGCGCCATGTTTCATTCAATGCTGTAGAATTGATGCAGGTCGACGGACAACCACCCACCTTCTGCGTGAAACTACAAGTGACGGCATGACAAGGAACGCCAATTCGCACTCGTCTTCACCTGCGGAATACTGCGCCGACCCGAAGGCCCGGAGCGTCACGTGGCTGCGCACGACGTGCGTCTGAACGCCGACGTCGGCCGCCACGCGTCGTAGCTGGACGCAGACGGTTCGATGCGCCGCCGTACATACGCAGCCATGATTTTCCCGCCGGCTTGTTTATTCGCGTAGGGGCTGCATGGGGCAAGGGGGGAATGGGGTGGGAGTAGTCATGGACGGGTGGGAGGGATGCGGGCGAATGTTTATTATGGCTATGCGTAGTGGTAAAGCCAGTGCCGCATGTCGAACGTCTGTCACTGTAGGGTCATAACTTCTCACATATCACTGCACATATATGAAGTTAACTAGTAAACGCATATTCGATGAGTTGTGATTTTTGTTATTTTTTTTTTTTTTTTTCGTTTTTTTTTTTTTTTTTTTTTTTTTTTTTTTTTTTTTTTTTTTTTTTTTTTTTTTTTTTTTTTTTTTTTTTTTTTTTTTTTGTTTTTTTGTTTCTTTTTTTTTTTTTTTTTTACCTGCCCAAAATGAAATGCGTTCCCGACATAATGTAGGACGGAAATACGAAAGCATAAAAAAGAACGTCGTAAAGCCATATGTAACGCACTTCACACTCCGCGCCGCTGGAATCATTTAATCTCGCAGTCGTATAATCGCGCGTATCGATATATACAAACCTGTCGTCCGTTGCAGGCAAAGTCTCGCACGATTGCCAACCTTGCTCCGGTGACCGTTTCACGGTCGAAGTGCGGAAGCTACAAGACATCGCAAGAAAGTCTCGCCGAGAGACAACGGGGCACGAATCTACGAATCATCTGGGAGTTGTAAGTTGTTTCGCCTGTGCGCGGCGTGTTACCCACTACGTTACATGCGCAACGCCAATGCGCATATCACGAAGTGAATCATTGAAGAACATGCTATACTTTACAATACACGAAACTATTTTCGACAGATTCAAAAGCTCCGTTTTGAAAATTGCTATTGCGGATTATATTGATTGTCTGTAAACCTTTTCCATTAGATAACCTTATTTACTTGGGAAAAATGCTATTATTTCAATTCCTTCATATGATACACTTTTGCACGCATGATTAACAATAATCAAGTCGTTATATCACAGCCCCCGGCAATTGGCTTTTCCGAAGAAGGGCTATCAACCAACGTTCACCCACAAGCGTGATCCCAGCAGTCTGGAGGATGCGATACTATCACGTTTTGAGTGTCGTCTCAGCTCGATCCTTAAGTCAAGCCATTCGTGGTATCATCGGCGACAAGCAGATGAAAATGTGTGATTCGTCGCTCCTACCGCGACTCTCGGAGCGTTACCAATTGCTCCGCATGTCTTCCCTTCTTTCTCGTTCTGGCTCCGTTCTCACCCTCCCTTTTTCTCTCTCTCTCCTCCTCCTCTCTCTCTCTCTCTCTCTCTCTCTCTCTCTCTCTCTCTCTATCTCTCACCCTCTTACTCTCTAGCGCGCGTGATCTCGTTCCTATATGTTTCTCTTTCGCATGTGCTATTTCTTTCGCTCTTTCTTCCTAATTATTTTTTTCTTCTCGTTCCTCGCTCGCTTTTCCAACGTTTTTACGTCTTTCTGTGCCCTCTCTCTCTCTCTCTGTCTCTGTCTCTTTCTCTTTCTCTTACTCTCACTCTCTGTTTCGTACTCTCTCCTTATGTGCTGCTTTCAAATAATTAAAATGAATAACGATGCGTGCTTTCTATGCATGCACACTCATCACATTGGAACTGACTCGCAGGGAGAGTGGTCGCTGGAAGATGTCAATGACTGGTGGTCCTGACTTCCTGCTCACGCTTGAGATCGGCCGCGCCGTCGCTAGGGACGCTGGGGAATATCGCTGCGTCGCCACCTCTAAGCGCGGCGAAGCCACCTGCAACATCACGCTGTCGTTTGAAGGTATGGCAAATTGTGCGGCTAGTTAAGGCATTGCGAAGTGCCGAGACGGGTGGGTGAAGTGTGGGTGTTAGTTGTCGAAAACTACGGCCAATTTGTACCCATGCAATTTTTTAAACGTATAGAACTTGTGGACATGGTGTAAATAGCGGTGTATAATATTGCGCCCATGTTTGTAGAAAAATGTAGTACTTGCAAGTATCTACCGGAATATAATCGACCAACTGATAATTCGTCAGAGAAATTTATTCACGTGGTAACGCAATTTTCAGTTGCAACAGTGTGATTATGGCGCATAGATGTTACAGCATTAACGCAATATAATTGGGTTATTACATCAGTTCATCACGTGTCCGTATATATGCAGAGGCGGCCGGCAAAAAGTTGAAGGTGAGCCACCTAAAGGCACCCAGGTACCTGCAGAAGCCGACGCTGCGGCTTGAGGGTGGCGTGCTCATCATGGAGTGCATCATGGAGGCAGACCCGCAGCCCGAGGTGCGCTGGTTCCACGACAACACGCGCCTGCAAGATGGCGGCCGCTTCCGCGTCAGAACCGCGAGACAGCAGAACAACCTCTACCTTCTCGCCCTCGAGATATCCGTAAGTATAGCGAGATGATTGTCATACCGACTGTCTTCTTTAGTTAAAGCTTCGACAGGAATATAACACTAGATTAGATAGATGAGATTTAACAAATAGAAAGGTTTTTCCTGCTATAGAATAAAAAGAATTCAAATTCTATGGACAGTTCGACACAGAGTTTTCGGATTGGAATATACGAATCTCTGTCTAATTGTCTATTAGCCAATGGCATCTTCAGATGCTTATATTCGGGAGAAAATTTCGATTTCGTTGTGTATGCACAGGCCTCGTACCCAACAATCCGTATAATATATGTAATAATATAATATATAATATACTTTATATTAGATATTTATATTATATGATAGCAACGTTATTGTGCAGCACCGTTGCCTTTCATTGATTGATATTATTCGGGAATTGCAGCAACCGAAGCTGAGCGACGGAGGCGTCTACAGATGCTGCGCAACCAACGGAGTCGGCGAAAGCAATGCCAACATAACTCTGAACTTGGAAGGTCAGTCAGTGCTGCCCTTGTGCAAATGAATCCTGCACCAGATGCTCTGTGCTAATGACTTCGGTGCAATGCTAATACAGTACTGATAACGTACCTAATAAGACGTTGGTTTTTGGCTCATTGTGACAATAGCTATGCGAATAGTAAAAATACTATATATATATATATATATATATATATATATATATATATATAT